CCAAGAATCTTCTTAATCTTACCTTGCCAAATTTGTCATGGTCCCATACTTCAAGAATCAAGAGATCATGCAAAGCATCTTCCACAACAAAATCAAATGTCTGGTTCCAAACCGGATTCAAGCTATCCGGTACAACCCTTGTCTTTGATTTCGCTTCCGATTTCTTCAATGTGATTACCACAAATGGATCTGCTTTTCCCATTAAATCTACAGCTGGTAAGTCTTCGGCAGCCAACACTGTCACAGACAACACTCCTCTCACAATCACATCTTTTTTCTTTGAGCTATGCGTTTTTTTAACATCCGTAACATCATCTGAATCCTCGCTTTCCGGCTTAAGTACCTTCTCCAAAACGGTCAATGAGAAGTTCGGGTTAAACGGGTTCTTGAATCCGCTTTCTTTGCCTAAGGGGCAATACAGGAGCTCCAACTGCACCTATATCACCACATATAGATATCTTTAATACTCAAAAAATATATCTTATCAAAAATAAAAAGTTAAGATATTTGATCCTGATTTGTAAGAATATGAAGAAATACTAACATGGCCCCGGTTTTTTGTATCCCTTTGAACCTCTAAATCTTTTACTAATTTCAACCAAATATCTTTAACTTTCCCGGGCTCGAGTTCATGCAACGACACTTGAGCAGCCCCAATAAGCTGAGAAGACCCTACTCCTTCGTCATCAAAGACTCTTACTGTCAAATGCTGAGTTGAGACATCTTCCACAATGAACTCAAAATGTTCATTCCAAATCGGATTCAACGAGTTACTCTAAATGACATTTAAAGAAACAGCGAGAGAGTTACACACAATATATCCAAAACATGCAAGATAAAGAAATTGGAATCTGGTGATTAGAGAAAATTTCCTTACAATAGTTTTGGTCTTTTTGGTTTTGTCACGCAATGGGCGAATGAAGACAACCGCGTAAGGATCGGATTTTCCAATCATGTCTTTGTTAGCTAAGTCTTTTGCTTGCACAAGCTTCACATCCAGTTTTCCAACAGGTTTCAACTCTAGGTCACTGTGAAAACACATTTCAGATTTATATAAAAATTTTCTTCACCAGAAATAAATAAATCCAGATGGTATGATGTAAAGATGCAAAAACCTGTAATCTCCTGGCAATATAGGTATAATTTTCCTAACGGGCCACGTAATACTGTCTTCAATCGCGTCGCGAATAGTTTCCTAACAAAGGCATTATCAGATTTTTACCGGTGATAGGTTATATTATGCTGAGAAATATAAGATCAAGTTTGTTTTTTGCATACTTCGATTGCATCGGAGATCCCTGGAATCGATGTTAGATCACCACCAATAACCTTAAGTGTAAAATCAAGCCCTTTCTGCTCACGCAAAACAAAAGAAGATTACTATAGCATTACCCTAAAGATTATAAAACACGCAACAAAGATCCCTGATAAATTACCTTCTCGCGCAGGGAATAACAAAGTGCGCCAAAACAAGGGAATTCATCAACAAGGGGTTTGAAAATCAACCTGAAAACACCTGTGAATCCTATATTTTTGACCTATACAAAGAACAAGGAAAGCTCAAGAACAACAAATGTATACAATTCTAAATTTTGTAATAATAGCATTACTAGTGAAGTACCTCGATTGGTAAAGCCACACCAAGTAAGGTTTTGATATCCAACACGATTTTTGGATTACCGTCCCATTGCATTTCAAGTTCCATCGTAATTCCATTAGGTCCACTTTCACTTTCTAAGATAGATACTCCTGAAAATGAGCATTACTACGGTTTTTTATGTCGTATCTCTGCAGTTTACGAATTAAGTAAAACCAATACATGGACAGTAAAAGGATCCAAGAAGTTAATTCATATTGACAAAAACAGAAACACCTACAAAAAACTTCACTTGCTTTCAAAATTTTCCTCTAGATCACATGATTAATGAACAAGATTGCTAGATGAAACATCTTGAATAAGCATCCATTTGCACCAATGTTTAAGCTATAGGTCCTCTAAATTAACCGAATTACTGGTAAATTCATTAAAAAGTCGACATTGTTCGCATAATTCTCAATTTACTAGATTATTATAGCAACCAACACAACCAAACCTGTGAACTGAGGAGCCACCGTTCCAAGTGTAAACTTGGAGAATTTGAGTGAAGCTAACATAGCTGGTGTGTACTGTTCAAGAATTGGTTCTACACTACTTCGAATCAGCTCAGAAGCTGCCTACATGATTAAGCAGAGAATATTTCAGCCCATTCAAAAATGTAAAATCAGAATGTAAAAAAAGGATTAAAAAGTTACCTCATCTACATAAGGCCAGATCTTTTCAAGTTCAAGGTTAAGCCAATTTAACTGTAATTTATTAAGCAAACAAGTATCAATATCCATATATCAATAAATGATGGAAGTAATTAAAAAGATTTGTTATATAAAAAATATTAAAATAGCATTTCTTAACTTTTGTTTCTGTGAAAATACAACCCAAGAAGGATAAAATTCTCCAGGTAGAAGTTTTCTTGAATCTTGAACACTCATTCTTGCAAATGCAGCAATGGTCCTCGCCTAAATAAATAAAATTATTTCTCAATTAATCTCTCCCAAAAACAAATCATCACAAATCGAACAAAAAAAAACATTATGAATTGTTGAAATGATTTTTTACCAATTCAGCTCGACGTGTGGATCTGACATTAGAATAACGTGCAAATGCAACGACCAAACCAACAGACACTACGATTCCTATGAACAAACCAAAGAAAAAACCCATTTTTTTTTCCTTACTTCTTAAACGAATCGAACCTGTGACCAGAGACACGATAATTTTAGATTGGATCCATTCATGGACTCTACGAAAACAAGAACAGAGAGTGATCTGCTTCTAATAATTAGTAATCAACAATAAAGTTAAAACATGTGATTACTTCGAGCTTACTCATTCTCTAATCTAAATCTATTTTATTTTATTTGGCTTTTTAAGATTC